TTGATTTTCGTAACCCCAACATTCTCATCTTTGGAAAGCATTGGAAAGTTGTGTAGGGAGGGTTCAAAATATGCAACTAAAACAAAAAGTTGAAAAATAAAAATAAAAATAAAAGGGAAAGGATTAAGAAAAACATAGATAAGCATCTCCTCTTTAAACCTCAAAGATGTTGCTACTTTAGAATCACCAAAAGATCATCATCTTCTCAACTTTAAATTAAAACCCTTAAGCATAAGTAGGGAATTTGTCGTTTATGGCTTTTCGAAAAGATTAGGGTTTTTTGAGACATATTGCATTATGTGGTGGACAAAAGAAGACGGGACCTATGCCCTATGTCCTATGCCAGCTCTCTCTCTCTCTCTCTCTCTCTCTCTTTTGTTTTCCAAATCCAGCTTAATATTTATTATATTCTCCTTTACTTTTTACTTATCTTTTGTTACTTTGTTCCAAACTTGAAAGGAAGAAGCCTCCATCTTAGACTGCCTTTTTTATATTTTCCATTGCATTTACCAGTTTCCAGTTTCCATCTTTCGTTTTTCTTCTTTGCCCAACTTTGCTCCCAACACGTTTACTTTATTTTCTGGTAACAACACATTTAGTTCCTTTGATTTTGTTGTCCATGACCAAAAATAAAGTGATGAGAACTGAGAATAAAGGGGGTTTCTATTTGAACCTTCAAATAGAAACATCACTTTAAGAAGCCTTTCTTCTAAATCATATGCCCCTTCACTCAATTTAATTGTCAATTCTTGTAGTGTGTGTAAGTTTAGTATTAACATCAGAGATGAAGCATGTAAAATCAAATTGGCTCGGAATCTAGCAACTAATGTTAACTTATTCAACAAATTAATTAATCCGGTTATCTGATGAATCCTTAAGCCTTAAGAAATATAATTAAGTTTGATTATATCACTTGGAAGAAATTATATATTTTATTTTGAGCAATTATGTATCCTCATCTGTTGAATAATGAAGCAGATATATGTTGTATATACAATTAATTTGCCCTACGGGATGTGAACTAAGTCCTCAATCATTTGCTTTTACGATCGGCTATATGATATCCATGTCAGAAACACACTGAATTATTTTATTAAGATGTAAGTGTTTGTTTGGAATCTAATTTTCCCCTCAAAAGCAGGAAGCAAGATAAAGTAGTATCTTTAGTAAATAAACAAGTCCTAATTAATAGCAGAAAGTGGGTGTCCCTTTTGAAAAACAAAGTTGTTCTCTTTTTCACTGCTTGTGGGTGGCTGCCATTTCTCACCCTTCCTTACTGGGCTAACTTTGATCATCTGTGCAATGCATCTTTTTTGTACGGCACACAAATGGTTCAACTTTTTTTCCACTGTTAGGAGGGCCTGTATGAAAAGGGATCAAGTCGGTAATCTTGATTATGCATATGTGTCAACGTGTCATGCCACTGAAAAACACATGGAGCGCATTTTGGGGTTCATTCCCTATACAAAGGACTAGGCCAATTTCAGGATCATATTTATTTGAATAATTTGACTGCAAAAGGTGCACCAAAATGCCATTTCATTTGCGTGCTAAGAATTATGTATTTATCTCTCTTATTACGTGACCTAACAGTAGATCACGTGATAAATAAAACATTACTATAGTATAGTAGAGGGTTTAGCTTTCTTTGCCTACCACAAGTATTCTCAATGGCTTACTGTTTTTGTGTAAACGACGTCAAGCATAAAGCTGTCAAATGTAGTGCAACAGAAAAATTAAACATCGGTATTAGAAATGGTTCATGGGTCTGAGAAAGAGAGTACTTATGTGACACGACACTGTGTAAAGGCTCACGCTTTGATTGGGACGAGACTGAATTAATTCAGTTCAAATGTTTGTGTTTTTATATATATTTTCTTATGGAATCCTATTTATTTCTCGCTTGAGGATTAACAGCTTGAATAGTCTGACGTGCATGTTAATTTCATGCACAGCTTATGAAAGAATATGAAGGTTTCACGTATTAGGGAGGCCCAAACATTGTGATGATTGGTGGTTTTTTTTTTTTGGGTTGAATTAATTAGGTTTATGTGGGCCTGCGCGCAAGCTTATTATCCTTAAGCTTGGGTGTAAACCTTGACCCGCTGGCCCCGACTTGCATGCCAATTGGCGTTTTTGAATTTTAGTCGACAATTTCATTGAACACATGACAATATCTTAGTCATTAAAAGTAAGTATCTTAGTCATTAAAAGTAAGTGTGTTCTAAAAGAAATTACACTTCTTATCGAGAAGAATGCTAGAATCAGTTGCACATGATTTATTTCAAAATCTACGGTTGGAACTCATCCACAAAACTTAGTAGAAACTCTCTTTTTATCAAAGCAAAGTAGTCATGCTTGATTGTCCAATCATCTCCTTACACACTCGATTCAAAAAGAAACTGAGACCTTAAAGATTGATGGATGGTGTTTATATTATTCAAATTCATTGTCACAGATCTTACACAAAATTGTAAAGTGGTGCATCACTAAAGGGCCTACTGAGAGAGCCTAATAAACTTCAGTTTTTAAGCCTTGTGGGATAAGAGACATACTGATTAAGGCACATCCTTTTTAGCTTTATTGGAGCCAATAAAGTTTTATACCTTACTTTAAGAGCCAATATGTTTCATTTACTTGAGGAAACCTTTTTGTAATCACCATAAGATGAATACTGCCTTGTTGAGAGAGTATCTCATATTGGAAAATGAAAACATGTATTATAGTACTCAAAAGACGTTGAACATCTCCCTCCATTATCAATTAATTTTGAGTTGGATTGCCACGTTCTAACATAACTCTGCTGTTTATTCTTTAAAACTTTGACCTATATAGCACTAACCAAAGACAGAATGTATATGGTAATTATGGATTTCTATTTCCCTTCATGCACCTTCAACTTTATTAAATTTGAAGGGTGTATTATATGTCTTTAATTAGCAGACAATTTTATGTACCAAGTAGAGGCTTGATTTTGAAAAACCAAAGACAAGCTACAAGTGACACAAGGTCCCTCCAAGACTGTTAAATGAGACCCACAAAAAGAGAAAGACCGTTGTTGGCATCTAGAAAAGACAAAGGGAGCTAAGCATGGAGACAAAGTTTCCACAGACAGCTTGAGAAGTGAGAGGGCTTTCGCAGACTTTAAGAAAAGGGGAGTTGAAGCTATCAGAGGCCTCTTTTCCATAAGGTCACTGTCTTTGTTCCAATTCCAATCCCTCTTTTCTTTCTCTTCTGAGTGAATATTTTTGCATGAAAGTAAGGGAAATCTCGGATCCAAAAGACCCTCAATCTATACATATAGATATAGATGTTATAGATCAGAGATCAATATGTATCTGTAGTCATTGTATTGATCATCACTCACTCTGTGTGTGCTTTTGTGCTTTTTTTTTGGATTTTATCATTTGAAAGTGATGAGATTGAGGGATCCAAGGAGAAGGGGTACTTTCATGTGCTGCTGTTTCTTTCTGTTATGGTGAAGAAAGGAAGGGGGGGCTACCACTCTCACCATGACCAATTGACCATGTTGTTTTATTTATGTAGTTTTTAGGGTTTTTCTTTTCTGTTCTTGTTTTTGGGGTGGTCTTTGATGGAGGACTTGGTCAAAAAGAGATGGGGGCAAGCACACGCGAATAAACCAGAGAATGTGGGTGATGATTAGATTTTGGAGATGATGAATGATGATGCTTTTGATGATTGTTCGGTCGTTTTCCAAAAGCATATACACTTCTTACACATACACATATACACATGTAGTACCTTGCACTTTTACTAAGCTTACTGTTCTTATACATATATAGAATATAGCATTTTGATGATTGTTCGGTCGTTTTCCAAAAGCATATACACTTCTTACACATACACATATACACATGTAGTACCTTGCACTTTCACTAAGCTTACTGTTCTTATACATATATAGAATATAGCACTCTGATTTTGAAAACTCAAATTATTGATTTTCCTTCCAAAAAATATTTCTAGCCAATCAAATCTTATAAAACAAGAGATTCAATGAATTATTTACCAAACAAATAATAATTTTTGAGTATAAGCGATAGGCTAGAGGGGAGGGGAGATTTCTCTCACACACACAAAAATTATGTCATGAGTGTTCGAATTTGAGATCTCTTATTTGCAAGTCAAAATCCTCTTTCATTGGGCTAAACCTCATTCGCCCAAACAAACAAATAATAATAAGAGAAATAATTGTGTCCTCTTGTCCTTTTATCTTCTATGAATTATATTTTACTTGAAGAAAACAATAATGTCGGTTGCTTACAAGCACTGTTGTTGATGAAAATGAAGTGTTCCCTTCAATTGCATTGGAATGAAGTAGGCCCAAGATGATGGGCTCACAACCTCTTACAAAGTTAGCATGAAAATGCCGAACTAAATATCTGTGAGCAATTGGGTTCAATTGAATAAAGATCAGGTTGCTATTTTGTTGTCTGGTGCAACCAGCCCAGGTACTGCTCTCCAGCAGACTCCAGTCATCAATGGAAATGTAAAGGCCCAAGTGATTATTTCACACCCCAATTGCTGAGATACTTCTAAAGGATCTCCGCCGAAGAAGCGAAGTTTGAAAGGTGGTTTTAGTTTAAGTGATTAAGAATAATTATCTTTGCACCCGAGGTTTTAGGTTCAACTCCTCCATCCTCCAATATCGTTTTGAAAACAAAAAACAAATTTTACTCTTCAAATTCTACTTGCTTATCTATATTAAAATCAAAATCAAAATATTTCCCTCTAAATCTGATAACTTATTGAACCTCGTAGATATTTTATGATAAAAACGCACGAAATTGAAAAGTTCTTGGACCTTTGGCATCCCAAAAAATGTGAAGTAGCGGCCTTTTAGGTGTTTTGTACAACATCATAAATGGTAGCAAATTACAAAACACCAGATAAGCCCCCCAACTCAACCGCCAAATTAATTCAGACTTTAATGCAAACTCCAACTCAGCGCTCCTTCGACTCCCACGCCATCACACATTTCCTTGCTCGGATCCTGTCCACAATTCTTCTTCTTCACCCCACCCACCCACATTTCCAAGGAAAAACATCGTTTTCCTTCACACCTAGCTCACACTCACTCTCTTTTTTACAAAACCTTTATCCATTCATCCACCGGCAACCTGCTAAACCACACTTCCTCCATCCTCTTCAAACGCATTTCTTCGCTTTACCTTCCCGGTAAACAACCGGTTGCGGGTCAACCACCCGTTAACTTAAAACACTGAAAAAACCGACAGAGTCATTTACACACAAAGCTTGCAGACATTAAGTTATACCCACGGACACATGAATGGTGGTCTTAGCAAACTCGGGACTGCGCTCACTATAGTGTTTGCGGCCATTCTCGCAGCCCTAGCAGCCCAGCTCTTCTTCCTCCTCCGGCGCAGGAGGAAGTCTCAGTCTCAGACCCGGATCGGGCACCACGAAAACCCGCCTCACTCACAGCACCACAGCAGCGTCGACGTTGACGTGGACGACGTGTTCAAGTGGCAGCAGGCACTGTACGGCGTGTCGTCAAGGGTTTTGTTCACGATCGAGGAGGAGGAGGAGAGAAAGGTTCTGGACTCCGCCGAGACGACGACGCACTCGTCGTGCGCGGAGAAAGAGGTGAAGACGACGACGACGGTGGTGCTGGACGTAGCTGTGACGGTGATGAGTGTAGAGGTGGACGAGGGGACGACGCCGTTTTCGACTCCTTGTGCTTCGCCGCCGTACTATACTCCGTCTCCTTCTCCCGGTCGTGAGACTTGTAGCGTGTAATAAAGAAGGTCCGGGTAGGGTCCTGGGCTTGGGCTGTCGGGTCAAGCGATGATCTTGCCGTGTTAGCAAGCACAATATTGGACGATGGTGTTTAATTTGTTTAACTTTTAATTTTTAATTTTGGGGCAACCGGTAGCATTATGTTTTAAGTTTTGGGTTTCAATTAATGTAGTTGCATGGCAAGTGTAGCGGTTTAGGTGATCATTGATTGCTGATGCTTTTTAGTACAAAAATGGATGGAAAGCAAAAGTATGCAATGAATAGACGTTGGTGAAAATACCTCTAGTTTTTGCTGTTATCTCAATGAACTTGTGTTTATAGTTGCTAACTTATGGTATAAGTTATGGTGCTGATTTTGTCACTTTACTTTTGTTCACTTTTTATACTTTTTATACTTTTTATTGTTTTTTTTTAATACTTTTTACAATAACATATAAGGGAATGTAAGTCGACAAAAGATGAGTGGAAACAACAATTTCCAACAAAGGATAGTGAGAAAATCAATTCTCTATGTATAACACATGAATTACTTACGCCATGTGACAAAGTTACGAACACTAACAAAAAGCTTCCCCATTAATAGTATAGTAAACTATATATTTGTTGTTTCTAAGGCAAAGGGACTTGTATGCTAAATATGAATATGGTTTGAATATTTTGGGAAGATTTATTCTTCTCCGTAAAGAGATATATAGTATTTTACATATGTGCTTTACAATACATGAATTAAATAGGAGAATATCTCTCCCAATGATACAAGAATTGTCAACTATACCAAAAAAAAGAGGAAATAAATCACCTAATTAACTTAGAAAATAAATCACCTTGATTTGTTAGGTTAACTCATGTAAACACTCCTCCTCAAGTTGGTACATACATATCACCAATGCGGCAATGCCCACCTTGATAAGTGAGTTATGAAACACTCGTGTAGAGACAGTCTCAATCAAGACATCCACTAACTGATCTTCTGATTTCACAAGGGTAGGTAGACGATTTTGTTCTCAATATTTTCTTTGATGAAATGTCCATTCACCTCAACATGGTTAGCAAACTTATAGCTGAAGAAGAGGTGAGTGATTAATTTGATGAAAATGTGATTTAGGGCTCATTTGGGAGTTATTCTGGATATGCCAAAATCACTTATGGGAAGAAACACCTCCAATGTGCTTCTCCAAAAAAAAAAACTTTTAGTTATTTTAAGTGATTCTCATGTGCTTATCCATAAAATCATTTTAATAAAATAACTTAAAGTGATTATATGGAGAAGTAATTTTCCATAAAAATGATCATTGGCCTATTCAAAATCACTCTCAATCGAGCTCTTAGCCTTTTCTTTGAAATAGATTTCAATTAAGTGTTCCTCAATATCATATTTACTCTTTCGGCTAAGTTTATTATACATTTTGGGCCAAGTCATAATTTGGTTTGAGCAAGGTTGAAGAACAATGATTTGGGCTTTTCCCACCGCATGGTTGGATATATGATAAAATGGGTGGTCTTATTTCCTGCATTTCCGTTCCAACCTCATGAATACTTTGGGTCCCGGGCGTGGTCAGCCAGAGGTATTTGGGCTCATCCCTTGATCAGTAAGGTTGGGTTTAGACGTTTAGTGTTTACTTAGTTTTAAGAACATACTGTCGCTAATGAGATCTAACTCAACAGAGAAGTGTCTTGATTTGCATGCTAATGGTCTAAAGTTCAAACCCCTATAGCACAATGGTAATGCGTGTGTGTGTGAAAAGTCCTCTGCCCCCATTCCCCCTTTTTTCCCTCTCATTATTTAGATTATCACTTGTATCGAAAAAAACAAAAAACATATTGTCACGTCACCCCCCAAATCATTTGGTCACTAAAATAAATTAAAAAAAAAAAAAAACTAGGTAACTTAAGTATTATTTCCTTAAGGCACAACCGTGTAATGTGTACATAGTCTATTATACCCTTCATTTCAGCATCAATATCACAATCTTCTGATTTATTTTGTCCTTTTCACAGGCATATACGATGCCATGGAAGATCAAAACGCAGACCACTGAGCTAAGATCACTTTGTTTTATTCATTTATATGGAACCAAAGAGTGTGACATAGAGGCAAGTTGACCAATAATATGAATGTGATAGCAGCAGAAAATTGTTCCTCAATATTTCAATAAGGAGGGTGAAGATTTCAAACGGCTTTTCACATTCTTTGCCGGTCACTACACGTAATTTCCGTTGAAGGAGTCATCACAAATGACAACTGCTCTGCAAAGTGATAGATTAGTTAGCCACCAAACCACGTTTACGGAGTTGTAATTAAGCGACGTCGTCCAATGTACATATTATTTAAGATTCAGATCTTTGTTTCATTATGTTAAATTTTTAAGTTGATCCTTGATTACGTTGATATTTTGGGCTTAAAAAACAATTAGAAAATAAATAATTCCCATGTGAATATTATAATTATAAGTTTGTAAATCAATCCTATTGTCCAATCCGGTCCTTGAAGACAGAAAGGTAAGGAGCATCTCTTTTTTTTAGTACAAACAAGGAGGAATCTTACACTATGTTCTATCCACAATGTGTGGTCTTCTCTTCCAGCAAAATCAGCCCATGTGACACATAAGCGACCAAAGAGACAGCTAATGTGAGAGCGAATGCGAGAGTGATTGATAACCGTTGATTGAATTATACTTTAAAATACAACGGTTCGTATTCTCTCTAACTAGTCAATGCAGGCCATCCCCAATTGAAGTGGTCCTTTTATTATTTTTAAATTTTCTCCCAAAGAAATGCAAATGGCAGAAGACTTAAGCGGCGGATTATCTTTTTCTAAAGACATCAATTTTATAACCATCATGGAAAGCAGAAGGCGAACTACTAAACTCACTATTTTATTTATGAACATGCGTAACGTACGCAGGTATCAAAACCCACAAAAGTAATCATATAATCATCTCTGTAGTGTATAATCTAAGACTGGATCAACACAAGCACAAAAACCAAAGAAACAAAAGAATAGTAAAAAAAAACCAAGAGATCATAATCTAAGACTGGATCAACAAGAAGATATATGAAGTGGTAAGCTGTGGAGCTTAGATTGATTTGAAGTAATCAACGTCACACTTGGTAGTCTCGAAAGTGCCACCTGATGAGGTCCCATTCTGAGTCAAAGGAACCTTCAACCCACATTTAATCCTGGGCTTGAATTTGCCGGTCTTGATCAATCCGAACTTGAATCGAACCCGAAGGTAAAGCTTGACGTCGATCTCGTAAACCCCCCCACTACTCTTCTGCTCATTGTACTTGGAGAGCGCTTTCGTGTCCGGGATCACCTGCTGGCCCTGGAACACCGGGTTCACCACGTTCGTTTTCTTGTGCCCTTGGTAAAAGGGCGTCGTCGAGGTGAACGTGCTGAACCTCTGGTCCTCGTAGATGGCCCTGGCCTCGATGCGGTCGTAGTAGACCCCGATCTTCTTGTTGGGGTTGCGGATGGTGACGTTGAGGGCGAGGTTGTAGTGGAGGGTGTTGTCATTGGAGAAGTTGAATTGCGTGAGGTGGGCGTCGGTGACGTGGAACTTGATGCGGTTGGGGCGGACTATGAGCCAGAAGATCAAAACGGCCAGCCCCACCATGACGACGGCGGTCATAATGAGCTTGAAAATAAGGCCGAAGATGCAGCTGCAGCAGCAGCCGAGAGGGTCGCTGCCACGGCCAGGGCGGTGGTAGGCTTGGGATTTGGGTGGGATTGAGGGGCCGTAGTAGGCCCCGTTCAAATGAGCTTGTTTCTCGGACATGGCTGAGAGAATTGAGAAAAGATCAAATTATAATTATAAGCAAAAGGGTAGAGAGAGAGAGAGAGAGAGTAAAGAATGAGAGATGGAGAAGGTGAAGTGTGGTATATATAAGGGGGGAATATGGGTGGGATTAGGAATCTTGGTGTGTATTTTTGTATGATAAGGGAAGGAATGCGGCAAGGCCGCGTGGGGGGTGGGGTGGGATAAGAAAATGAAAAACGCGGTTGCTTTAGAAGGTCGGATTTAGAAGTGGGAAGGGGGGTGTGTTCAGTGGTTTTGTGAGGAAGTCTTTTTTGAGGGACTTAATACTCACCGTGTGGGATGGGGATGGGGTGATTTGAAGCATTAGGCAGGTGGTTCCTGGTAGCTTCCGTTGGCCTTGCTTGACTTTTGCCTCCCTCTGTTTCTATCGTGCTTCAATTTCATAATCATAATTATACCCCAAAAGGACAAAGAGGTTACAAAAGTTAATACCTCCACCGAACCAAATCTTAAATATTAAAACTAATACCAAACCAAATTTTGAAAGGAAAAACAAAAAAGAACCCAATCATCACTTCAATTCTAAATATTTATTAATTAGAATTTGGGTTTGTATTCCTCAATTACGATATAAAAGTAATTTCTCTTAACTACTTGAACTATGATTTCACTACACCAACTTCTTTTTCATATGTAATAATGGTAAATACATTTTTGAACAAAGAGAGCAAATAACAATATTTTGTTAACCATTTTGACATTTTCATGAAGCTAATTTTGATGAACAAGGGCAGAAATAAAAAAGAAGATTAAACAATTCATACTTACAATTCAAATGAAAGAGAGATTTGAAAAGGAAAAAGGAAAAAAGCGTTCTAACGGCCATGTGTGACGGCTAGCTTTGAAAAAAAAAAACATAAAAAGAAACTTATAAAACTATATTAGGCCACCTATATGTCTAACCTTAATCCATTTTGTTTCACATTATCATCATATATCCAATTGCATCTCCTACAATGCTCATCTAAAAGTACACCAAATACACGGGCCGTTGGTTTAGTGGTAAGTGTATTCATTTTAACAAGAGAATGTTTCGAGTTCAACTCACACATATACGAGCATAATATACAGTTTTGATGACCTAACTTCGTTAAGTTATGTGTGTTGTTCTGTCGTTTTGTTTGTCACCGCCAAAAGACACCGTGTTGAGACGCATCCATCTCCACTGTTGAATTGAATTTCATGCAAATCCACAGATATGACACTGAATTTTAAAAAAACCATGCATGGCCAAAGTCTATCTATAAAGTTTTCGTAGATGACTTGTTTCACAGTCCTTTACGGCCAAGTCTAAACCATTGACATCATCACATGTGACATGTAGTGATCTATGTCTTCATATGACTATTTTAACGCTGTATTGTCCACCTGTCCTGAAAAATATCACATGATTAAAATGGATGCGTTCAGATTTTCTTTCATCAAAACTGGCCTAACTTTTTTGGACTTTTAAATTTAGGGTTTCGAAACAAAGAAAAGAAACCAGAACTCGTGGGATAAACGATGCATCTTCATGGATCCATGCCTGGCCCAACTTGGCCCATCAGATCACATCTGTAATTTCATGAGGCCTATAGATCACAAAAGCCTAACTTGAAGCAGAAGCCCAAAACACCGAAAGGTAATTTGTTATCCGCACTGATTAGTGTTAAAAGATTTCCATAGCAACCGACCTCAAGATTAAGAGTTTGTTTGTGAAGTACTCTGGATAGATTAATAATCATTTTAAATAATTTTTTGAGAAAATTGCTTTTTTTGTTGTTGGGGTAATTTGTTATCCGCACTGATTAGTGTTAAAAGATTTCCATAGCAACCGACCTCAAGATTAAGAGTTTGTTTGTGAAGTATTCTGGATAGATTAATAATCATTTTAAATAAGCGATTTTAAATAATTTTTTGAGGAAATTGATTTTTTTTTTGATCAATTGAGAAAATTGTTTAAGGTTGTGTTTGCATGAGGGATTTCAAAATGATGGGATTTTAATGTGAGGGACTTCAAAATGATGGGATTAGTAAAGTTCCTTGTTTGGCTAATTACTTTGTGGTTGGTGTTGGTTGTGGTTCCATGTTGGGGTCGTCTTCGCATTCAAGCGTGGAGATTTCCAAATCCCTCCTTCAAATCCCAAGTTATTTATGAAGTTCATACTTTTGGACTTCCCAAACAAGGCATTTGGCCCATGTGGATTCATAAATCCCATGGAAGTCCAAATCCCTCATCCAAACAGACCCTAAAATCACTTAAATTCATTAGATGCATAAGCATATGGACGGTGTTTCTCTCTATAAACATGCCAGGAACCTACTATGTTTTAGGGAAGAAATGAAACCCTATTTTTGTTGGGACATGTTGTGCTTCCCGAGTCATGAGATTTTGTCACGAGTGTGTCACCAGTTGCGTTGCTATTGGCATGTGAAGTTATTTTGTTTACATATTTTGGTCCTAAAACCAGGAAGCCTCCCAAAGTTTAGACATGGTGGAATTAATAAGATGACCCCATCTTACTTTGAACCTGAAAGTCGCATTAGGGCAACTCCCTAGACTTTTTAGGGTTTTAAGTTGGTCCGCCATATCAAACTAATATGTTACCAAAGCCACCCACCAAACATGAAAATTTTGTTTTATGTTATTGCTTCATTTTTCATTTTGATGGTTTTTGTAAGCGTTTCATGGCCAGGCAGCCCAATTCCCCCCTTTGAGACAGGCCTTTGAAATTTCAACTTGTCCATATATTTGGGCGAATTGAATTGAATCTTGCACACCCCGATATGTTTCACAATTATATATATAATATGCAACGTACTTATTTCATTTCCTCATCCAATTCCATGTTTTATATATTTAAAATTGTCCATGCCAGCTGTGATAAAAACTACACAAAATCAACATGCACACCAACTCCTCCGTATCCCAATCTTAATTGATCATACCAATAATTTTGAACTCATCAAAATGCCTACCAAAATCTTATGAATGCGCCCAATATAATTCTGTCTGCTTGCTTTTGACGCATTGTGCACGCAATCGTGTGATGGAGCTTCAGAGCTTGACACAGACCACCCCCCTCTTTATCTCTTCACTCTATTCTATATATCCTTAGCTCAACAATATGTCACATATTATGAGAGCCATATGTTGAAAACTTTTATTCATAAAACAAAAATGTCCCTTTCCATCCCTCCATTATTAGTAGGTAGAAAGAGCAAATTCTGACTAGGAGGGGGGGTGAAAAGGACCGCCACCACCACCACTACACACCACCGTATGGAAGACGATAAATAAACCCCACCCCCAAAACCAACGCATCCAAAATTCCTAATAATCCCCACCCTAGCTACTACGTACAGCTCCACCAATTTTAGCTACATCCATCCAGTAAGGGGTTTATCAATGCACCTAAGATCTTAAGTTCGATTCTTCCCTACTTGCCCTAACATCGCTTGTATGTTTCTTTTATAAACCACCAACCTTCCTAAGTGGGACCACTCGTAAATAATGGAAGCAACATTTCATCACATTCAATATAACTGCATTAGTACTGATTCATGTATGTTTCATTCATATTCTTCTCCTTTTCCTTAGCTTTATGTTTCATTCATATTCTTATCCTTTTCCTTAGCTTCCGGCCATTCTTAGGCCAATCGAATTCAACTCTTTTCTTAAAAAAAAAATAAGACTCATCCCATGTGAGGGAATAAAAAAAAAGTTGAATTCTGTAAAAGTTATAAATTTATAAATTTTAAATTGATGACGAAGACTTCTCCAGCTAAGTGCTACAACTAAATTAATGAAGGGGGAAGGATGAAGTCCATATAGCTTGAGGAATACAAAATTGACATCATTTATTTAAGTAATTCCCCAAAAGAAAATAAAATTATTAGAAGAGAAAAAAAAAACTATAAATTGAAAGAAAATGACACCCCAACCTCCACTTATATCCAATTGCATGATTATTGAATTATATAAAATAAACTAAAAATTAAAATTATACAATTTAAAATCAATTACCACCGACCGACTGTAATTTTGCTATACGCTCTATCATAATCCTCCGTTTTTATTCTATAGCAAAATTTACAATTCAAAACACCAAAGCGTATATATAATTATATAACCAGACGCAAGACTCCAACTAAAAGTTCAAATTAAGAAGAAAAAAGAAGAAGAAATTTGAGAAAAATTAAAGAAAATGAACTCGGCGTTACTTAACGGTAACATTTAGCCTCCAGTTCCCGTCCATCTTCTTCACACGCTCACTTTGCAATGCTGCAGCAGCTGGTACTTGATGGCGTTATTTCCAACCACAACCCCGTTGTTCTTCGGGCCCAAAGGTATAAAAGCGGGGCACCGAACGTAGAAATGGTACTTGCCCGAGATAAAAGTCCCGACCTTCCACCTCACCTTGCCGTCCATCTTCAGCAGCAAAAAAACGGACCCAGCATTCTTGTCCTGGTCCAGCGCCAGGGAATTGTACGGCGCGATGGGGACGTTGGTGCCGTAGATGAACGGCGACCAGATGTTGACGTCCTTGTGACCCTGATACACCGGCGGGATGAGCGTGGAGAAGGTGATCTGCTGGTTACGGTATGTCGCGTAGATGTTGAGCTTGTCGTAGTAGATGCCGATCTTGTCGTTGGGGTTGCGGGAGGAGACGGTGACCTGGAAGCTGGAGGAGAAGACGTTGGGTACGGAGTTGTTGAATTGGAAAACGGTGACGTCTTGGAGGATGAAGCGGGGTTTGGAGGGCTGGAGGATGGCCCACACGATGAGGATGGTGACGAGCAGGATGAAGTTGAAGATTAGGAGCCCAGCGCAGCAGCGGCGACACCTATTCCGCCACTTTTTGTGGCCATGTTGGCCGCAGTCCTTGGAAGACATGGTAGCGGCCGCGGTAGTTTGCGGTGGAGAGGGAGACTGAGAGAGAGAGGAAGGATGGTTGGAGTTGGGTTTGAGAGTTGACCCTCTAGTAAATGAGCTTTGGTTGGGGATGTGTGTGGGGGTATATATTACATGGTTTATAACGAAGATGATGATGATCTATGTGATCATGTATGTATGGTGGAAAAGCAAGTATGTCAAAGTAGGTGTAATGTGTTTAGAGACATTTCATGTTTCTTTCACTAATTATGAGGAAAATTAGTTTTTTATTCGTGTCAAAAAAAAATTGTTTAATACTAGATTACGGTCTCATTCTAAAATTACTCTGAATCTCTATTTTTTATACGAGTAACTCTCTATTAAAGTTAATATTACAATGAACCAAATACTGTAAATCGTTAACCGTCACTAACCCATAACTTTATTTTTTAGTGAGTATTTTGGTTGCTTTTGAATTGTCTGGTGGTAGTGTAGCAAGGTAGTGGAAATGGGTGTCCCATCAATTTTCAGTACCAAGGCATTGTTTGGGTTATCTTATTACTCAATCATAACTATGGGCATTAACCAATTAAATTACACAAATACCTTATGTTATCATGTCCCACTTGACAAGGCTCATCAATTATAGCTTCTAATTAGGTTTATTATTTATATGATTTGATCTAAATATAACTTAGATGAAATTTGGGTTTTTGTTTATTGCATGATGTGTCCTAGTTAAGATGCTCATATGGTGTGATGGGTTAAGACCAATCGTTTTCTATGCTTGGCTTTATTCAACAAACAGGGTTCAAATTGTTTGTCAAGCTCACCCACATGTTATCTCAATGGCTGGTTCATATCTTTTCTTCATAATTCTCTCCAAAAACCTCATTAATTGTTTCAGTATTTCAAAACAAGTTATTAAGCAAGTTACTAAGCAATATTAAAGTCCATTAAATAAAACTATAGAGGCTCAAGTCACTAAGCAAGATCTTGTTGCTCAAACCCTAATTCTTTTCAAAACCTGATCCAAGTAATACGCTCTTGGCATTAGCTTCAAGATATATAGTTATATACAATAAAATCTCATTCATATTTGTCTGCCATCTATCTGCATCGTTAATATAAATCAGTTTTATTTTTTATTTTTATACAAGCAATATTCTACTTTAATCTAAACTAAACTATAAAGAAGAGGATTCGAACTTAGGTGAGTAAGGAGCACAACCGCTTTAGCCGACTTGATTAAACTCATATTTGCATAAATGAGTTTTAATATGATTGTATTATTCCATGACCCTCAGTTGTGTTGTGCTCGCTTAGTCAAAAGGTGACGCTCACTGCTTTTTCTTAATCAACTTAGAAAGACCAAAAGCCTAAAGAAAATAACATATTTTTTAAAATTTCTTTCTATACTAGAATTTAGAATGTGAATGGGGCCGATTGTGACTTGAATAAAGTGTTTGGAAAAGCAAGTCTCTTCACCACCGTCCGATTGAATACGGATACATGGGAAAAGTCTAATTGACACGTCTCTTGCAACCACTTGGCCCCACTTATCATGACGGAGGAAACCTCTGGGTTCCAGAATATTACTTCTCCCACCAGCTAAAGCCTAAAGCCTAAAAGCCTAACAATGATGCAACATAAAAGGAAAAAAAAAAGAAGAGAAAAAGAAAAAAAAACATGATTTGGATGTGGATATATGTTGAAAATTTCATAACCTCTGATGAATTAGAAACAAGACTTTCTTTGGCTTGATTAAAAGCTTAAACCCTTTTTCATAAAGAACCCAATATTGCTTTCCCAGAAAGAAAATTGTTAGCCTTTCTTTCATCAGTTTTGTTTCTTTAATTATTTTGTTTTGCTTTAAAAAAAAATCCTAAAATGTTACTTAGAAAACAACATTAAGAAAGGTTTTATTTATTTATTTAATTTTATCAAGGAAAAGTAGGGTTAGCTGCACTTTCCCAGCAGATGGTAAAAGGGTACGTGGGCAACAAAAAAAGAGAGCAATAATTTCAATACATGTAATAATTTTAGTTAAAAGCACCAAACCAAACTATTCTCCAATACATTATTGATGGTAGAAACTAGAAATTGATTATGTCGGTTGGCAAGTGTGAATATGAACAATGACCATGATGTGTTCTTTCACACATTTAGTATCGACATCAAGCTCTAAAAGTCTCCTCAACCACCAATGACCAAACCTATGACCAATTTTTATCTACCTCTTAATTTTATACACTCTCTCTCTCTCTCTCTCTCTCTCTCTCTCTCTCTCTCTCTCTCTCATGGTGATAGAAGCTTGCGGAACAAGATTACGTTAGATGAAAATTATTGATATGTGTACGGACAATGAATCGTTAATTGAGGTGAATCTCTCGTTATCATGTCAATAATCTTAATCAAAATATAACATTTTCTCTTCATTTTTCTGAAAGTGTTGTTCTTTTCCTTTTGTTGTTCTCTCTAAAATATATTACAAACATCAACTTACTTTAAGTTCTTAACCATTTGGATGTTTTCCTATGAAACAATTTTCATTTCATGAAAGTTATTGTCGTTTGCAACAGAATGACTAGATATTAGCAAGTGAGAAGAAAAAAATAGGGAATCCAATTTCTTCTATGCACCATCAATTTGCTCAAAGTTAAGCAATTCACAAAAGTTGAATATCTTTAGAAGGGCCTACTTTGTCTTATTTCTTGGCTTAAAGACACATGGGTTAGAAATTGGTTGTTGCAGAGTCAAATTCTGGCAAGGCTTATGAAATCAAATAACTAATTCTGACATAGGCCACTTGCAGAAAAGTCTTGAATCAAATTAGTACAGCAAGAAAGAAACACAGCTAAAAAAAGACTAACTTTCTACTAATTTAGCATTATTAAATGGTGAGAGGTATCTAATACTAATACACTATTTGTCATTTACTTGGGTTTTCTTTAAGTGTTATAATATTAGAAAAAAGAAATGCAGTATAAAATATGACTGGGTTTTCTTTAATATATATATATATACATATTTTTATCAAATTAATAATATATTAAGAGTTGTCATCTATAAATCCAAAAGAGAAGAAAACAACATCCAGATGAGACTTGAGATCATACCATGGAAAGATAATATTAGTTGGCACACCTAAAAGCACATGACTCTTTTCTTCTACACTCATTTGACACCTACAATGGCATCCACTTTGTATACTTGTATGCTCTTTATGATCTCAGCTCATGATTCAATTGCCATGTATTTAGCTATTGAACCTCAGTTTATATTTTTATGTGATTGCAACATAAAAAAGAAAGTCTGAATTTTCCACAGAAGCCGGCTCGAAATATTTGATCTTAGGTGCATTTCCCTTTAGAATATTACTGTTTCGGTACGACCAAACCCAAAATTTGAATCATTGGAGCCTTACTCATAGACATGTTGAAGTTCAATTATTTGGTACTTGGTGCTGTTGAACTTATTTGATTGTTTTATTTTTTTCCTCTTGTTGCATCTCTTATGTACTGTGGCCAAAGAAACCAAGTACACTTGGTGCAGTTTCCAGAGAATGCAGAAGGCCCTTTACCAAATTCTTTGCTGCGGATTCTCTCAATTCTCTCATAAAAACAAGAAGAAAATGCCTTGGGTAAAAGCACTTTTACAAAACATGGAAGCCGCAAAAAGAAGCCAAGGATATCCCCCAAATGTCCATAAAGAAGGGTGGGGTTGTTTGTGGCCTATGCCTACTAGATTCTACACACACAAAGGTATTCTCTTCTGCACTTGCACTGACATTCATGCTGATTCTTTATCCCTACTTCGGGAATTACAAATGTCCCTACAAGATCTTCTTTGAAACCACCAAATCCCAGTTTCCTGTTTAAATCTCTGTTAAGTAAATCACAATTAACTTTTAACCTAACCCTAGTGGTTAATATGAATCCCCAAAGCCAAAATTGTTCTATGCAACTTGCACCCAATGGATTGGTTTGTTGTCTTCATGCGCTTTGCTGCTAAAATCTGACTAGAATCTGTGGCTATGCTTCTTTCTGGTAACCATGGGTTAATGAAAGAGACAAAAACAAAAAGGTTGTGGAATAAAGCACTGGGGGAGAGAGAAGAAAGAAACCCTTTGATTGGTGGGTCATTCTAAGAAGGGAAAAGTTCCAAAAACAATGAGAAGAAAAGTGGGGAAGAGAAGACATGGAGGTGAAAGAAAGGGATAAAATTCTTGGTAGCAAACAAAATGATGACTTTATCTAATTGGGTTGATTAAGCTGTCTTGAATTGGTTTGAGGGGTAATTGATCACCCTATTAATAAAAAAGTGAAACTAATGGTGGGTGATGATGGGCCAATGAACCCTAAATAGTCATTTGGATGCATCTATGATTTATGATGGTAGAAGTATCTTGAAGAAAAGGAGTTGGAATATGATGGAAAATGAACTTTGAAAGCAAGTTTTGAGAAGAAAAAAGAAGGGGATCATCCAAGCACTTTCCTTTAAATGGAGATCAAAATTATCATAAGTAATTATGCAGCAATCACTTTCCTTTTAAGTGTTTTCCTACATTATGAATGAATTATGGAAAGCCTTAAGATCAAACTGACTTGCCAAGCTAACCGACTCAACATGGAAATATCTTAAAAGCCCCTAAATCTTTTTTGCTTTTGCATCAGTTCATGCATTGCTTTGAGTTTTGAATATAAATATAAAATGGTGCACACTAATAATGATGCAGGTGTAAACGCCACCAAGTAGAGCCTTTTGTTACGTATTTTCCACATGCCATCACATGGCCAGAGAGAAGCTTCCTATCCTTTGCACCCTCCTAGAGGACTATTTCGCCTACAAAGGAAGAAACAGATGCAAACAACTTAATTTAAAGTTTGGGATAATGTTGGGTTTGTAGCTTAGTGGTAAGTTACACGCCTAACAAAATTCTAATGCTTTGCAGTGTAATTTTGTTTCTGTGAAATAATTGTTACTCCTAGTACCTCTACTTCTACCTCGTGTTGTCTTTTGCCTGGGAGGGCAATGGGGAGGGGCATGTCGATCTCATCCCCATCCCCATCCCCATCCCCGTATAAAAGTTCTATATTCACATTCCCGCCTCAAACCCTATCGGATATCGACTTCTTCATCATATTCGAATTCCCTGTCCCATTCATAAAAGTTTAAATTTAGGAGTCAACAAAACAATTATCAATCTCATTCTTTAATATGATAGTTTTAGAACGGGGATGGGGGTGGAGAAAGGGTGGGAACCTCAATCCCCATCCCATTCGGGACGGATCCATGTGGAGATCGGGTGTGACGGGAAAAATTGCCATCCCAACCTTTTGGTCAAGTGAAATCAGTCAATTGCAAGTAGGACGACTTGTAGAAATGTGTCTGTCTTTTGTTACGTAAACTTCACAACAGATAATTTGATCAGTTTCTTATGTTCAATCATCAATCTAATGGCTCCCTCCACATTCTAATTGTCCCAATCAGCAGTTGAAAATGACAAAGGACAACCATGCCTCATCCCTCACACGTTTCTAATTTGGACACAGAATGTCGATTCCAATGCTGTTTCTTCACGGGGCCATAAATCTTGCCAGAAAAGAGAAAAAAAAAATTAAAAAGAAAAAGAAAAAAATGAAGAAAAATCCCAGATATTTACACAATTACTTTTACAGGCATATTAAAAATCAACGTCAATCTCTCTCAATCCACCAGCGTCCTAATCATGTCCAACTGGAGATATACAAATATGCACACTCTTTATCGTGTCCGAGAATCTTATCATGTTTATAAGATATCATCAAAGTATTATTGGTTTATATATAATTCCATTGCCAATGCCATCTGCATAACATAGGTTTTCATAAAGTTATTTAGGCCACCCCAAAAAGCTCTGTCGGCCAAGCAACCACTTCATCCCACTGCCTCCTTACTTAAACAACAGGTGGAACCAAAGATACCTATCCAATTGCTAATACTTATATATAGGAGGGAGGGATTGGACTCTTTCTTGTCCGAGTTTAGGGTCATTAAGGTGTCACGTCACAAGAGAGATAGACACGTGATTCTGTACAGCCGGTGAAATAGAGAAGAAGATTTCCAAAAGTTCAACCATTTCAGCCAGCAAATCAGAGCTCTAAGCATGGACCAGCTAAATACATCTTCAACCTATCTCAAGTCAATACACCCAAGACCAAATTCTACTCATCAATTGTTGAACTGATGATGGAATAGTTCAAAAGCAAAGTAGATGCAAGTAATGACGAGGAACTTGTAGGGCTTTATTTCTTCGTTGAAAACCTAATTTCGCCTAACTGAAACTGATGCCTCATACCTTGAATAATCATTACTCTTTAATAGATGAAGCCTACTACATAAATGCCAGCAAAAGAAAAACACAGAGTGAAAGCTTGCCTGATAACAGCTTTTAAAGAAAATTAAAGTGATGGAGGAGATGAAAGAGATGAGCAAGACAGGAGAAGTATGGAGAATTAAAAGTAACAGGCTAAAAGCTAAAAGCCATTTAAATTGCTTTTTACTTTTTAGAACTTTTGAAGTATTTTTTCTCTCCTTTTTCCCTTACCTTTCTCCTAAGAATCGTCCACCTCTCCCCCTCTACCTCGTTAAAGAAAAGCTTAAAAGTAAAATACAAAATTGTCACTAAAAAGGACCTTTAAAATAAAAAGTTCTTTTAAAATTAGGAAAATATGAATCACCTGATGAGCTACAACTATGTCACCAATCATAGGAACTGATTCTATGTTTCAAGTTTCAACCACAAACAGAAAATAAAAGAGTGGACAAACAATCTCAACACGCATTAACCTCTAACACCTATAAACATCAGAAATGAAATCATCAAAATCATAGTAAAACTAAAACCACTTCAGCATCAAGGACAAAAGGACAGTGTTTGCCATCACTAGATTAATAGTTTAAAACCAGCACTAAAATTCAAGCATGATTAGAGGCTTCAGAAGCACATAGTAGCTTCTCTTAAGTATTAAAAACAAGTAACATCAACGCATAGGGCAAGACGAGCAATGCCCCTTTTCTAATCACCAACCTCGCATGGCTTCTGAGCCCAAAATTCTGAATTTGTCAAAATCAAAACTTCAACAATAACAAAGCAACTACATCAGATCAGAACTACACTGAAAGTGTGAAAGCTAATACAGGCAAGCTTTGACATAGTAGTACAGAGCAACATAAAAAGTGCCCTGTTTGGCCAACTTAACAGCTTATTGACACAGTTAAAATGAAGCCAGAACAGATGTTTAGATTTTCTTCTCCTAAGAGAAAACATGCAATACAGTATGACGTAATTAAAATGTTGCCAGAACAAAAGTTTGGTGTTTCTTCTCCTACGAGAAGACATGCAGCTGAGTTTCAAAGGAAAAAACCTAAACGGAAGGCAGCCAAGAAAGGAGTAAATACAAAATCAGAAAGAGAATGACTTTACATTTGACAACAGCTCTATTATTATCATATATCAACTGAACCCAAATCATAACCCACTATGAAATTTAACATTGTGGTAGAAATGATTTGGAAGTCAAATTAACTGCAACTACATTCTTTACCAAGCCACTCCTCTTAATCGTTACTCGTACAGTAGTGTCTAAAGCACAATTCGATCATTAGAAGCAAACATTCAACACCACATTTACATGAGCATAAATTCAGAGTCTGAAAAGATAAACATTATGATGTTATCCTATGAGGGGAGAGAGAGAGAACAAATAACACCAAACTCCTATAAAAAGAATTGACCTCTAAGATGACGAAGTAAGTAGAGAGATTCGTTTTAATTCTTCAAGGGCAAAACAATAAACAATTTCTCAATACATAGGTAAAATCACACTACTTGCTAGTTCCTGGTAGACCAAGCTCCCCTTCCCCAGGAAAACCTTGTACTATTGCAATACTATTGACTTGAATCACAACCCTAGACTTACAACCAGCATTAAGCACAATAAAACAGACATCCTAACATAGAGGCTTAGTAGCCACTACCACAAATCCAATGCTTAAAAAAAAAAGTCTTTATCGTTCTTCTCAAGCGCATAATCTTTGAAGGCATGAACAGTGGTTTGATATCATTAACAAACAATAGGGATGAGTTTCTTCAAATGTTAAGCTTGGAGACAACTATGGTTGGTTCGCACTTACTTTTTTCCTTGTGACTGTGTGCTATGGTAAGTGGCATTCAAGGGAAAACCCTATAATCCATTCAGAATTCATTTATGCATCTCTACCAAATAAGTCAACATTCAATTAAAGCTTCACCAAGCAACACTCAATACCCTACAGCCTCTGGCTCTGGAGTTTGAATCACAATGACAAAGCCCCAGAACACTAAAAACAATCACATTGCTCTTTATTCTAACACAAATACAAAGCCCAAAGTGGCAATGTCCCATATTATCATCTAACCCATCTCAACACTTCAAATGCCAATTCCTACAGCATATGCAAAACGGGGAAAATGGTATTTACCTCCAAAACAAAGAAAACTAGTAGAAATCATAATAAAATAATTGAAAAAATATACTATTATTAGCTAGCATAAAATAACAGAGACAAATTGGATTCAGAAGATCACGAATTATATTCCATAACCCAAAATCATACACAGACTAATTATAGCATTTACCAATTTGTATTAATCCAATGGACTAATTATACTCACAGTCACAAGTCAACCACACACGGACTTGACTGACCCGTCAAAGTCCCCGTCCCATTCTTCTGGGCAAACTCGAAATCGACCCGCTCGCAGAAGACCCGCAACACGCGAGGCCTCGACTGGAACAATCCAGACCTAAACCGAACCGAAGCAAAAACTCCTAGCCCGAACCTCACCGACCCACGATCCCTCTCGTCGGAGATCCCCTTGGCCACGTAATTGCCAACGTACTCCCCCACCGTCGCCAGCTTGCACCCGACACGCGTCTGGTTCCTCTTGGTCAAAACAAAGGGAGGCAACGACGTCGTGGCGAGCTGGGAATGGTCGCGGTAGAAGAGTGAGGCTTGGATGCTGTCGTAGTAAATTCTGAGCTTGTGGTTGGGGTTGTTGGCGAGGAGGGTGAGGTCCCAGGTGGCGGTGAGCTCGGAGCCAGTGGCGTTGAGCGGGAAGACGGAGGCCGATTCGACCCGGAACTCGGGGAGGCGGGGGCGGAGGGCGAGCCAGGCGATGAAGAAGACGAGGGACATGATGGCGAAGACGGCGACGGCGGCAATGAGGAGGCGGCAGAGGAGGGTGGGCCTATTGGGCCCGATGGGCCCAGTGGGCTGAGGGGCGTAGTAAGGAGATGGGCCCATGGGCCGGTAGGTGTTGGCTTGAGTAGGCGGCGGTGGGGCCACGTAGGGGTATGCTCCGGCGGCTGGGTAGCCGGCTGCGAATTGACCCGGCTCAACTGGGTAGCCGGTTACCGTCTTGTTACGAGCATCATCGGCGCCGGCTGCTGAGGTAGCCATTTGAGAGCGGAGAGAGCTAATTGAGTTTTTGGTTTCCAAGAGACAGAGAAGTAATGAAAAAAAAAAAGGTAGGCGTAGAGGGAGAGGAGGAGGTGTTTGGTCGGTAGATAGACACTATGCGAAAAAAAAATAAGATTTCTGAGAGCACGAAGTTGCCTTCAACTAAAGTTTGATTGTTGTTGATAGAAGAATTGCTTGGCAAATGACGCGTAATTCTGTTTTGTATTTAATTACAAGTGTTTTAGCAGATAATTAATTAATTAATTGGCTAATAATAGCTGTCATCTCCGGCTCCATTTTGAGATATTTGTTTCTTTTTTGTTTTTGTGTATTCTTTTTTGTTTGGCAGAGGGCGTAGACTTTAGTTGAAGCGCCGTACTGAGGAATCTCTCCCCGCCTTCTACGGTGGTGACACTTGTCGGCTCATCATTGTCCCTATCTGTTTCTTATGCGAGGCGGGTTCGGGTTCGCGGTTACCCGCCCCCGTGTACCCATATTATTTGTTGGGCTCATTCAAGACTTGCCCCATTTGGCGTATTTAAATGGACAAATGGGTGTTTGTTGGGCTTGTACTTCATCATTAGTTTTTCTGGTGGCCTTTGCTTTGGGAATAATATTGTATCTGGCGTAACACTTTTTATGAATGTTTGTCAACTTGTTTAATGAAGCTTTTTCACCAAGAAAAAACACAATTAGTGTAATACCCATCCTAATGTTAGTGACAATAGTCTAAACTACATAATTATTCTCCTGTCAAGGTTACTTTCCAGTGAGCTAGACCCTGTTCGCCTATGAATTGGTATTATTGACATGAAGGGACGATCGCGGATCACATTGTGCAGTATTTGGGCAATAACAAAAGCTAAATTTATCCAAATATATTCAATTGAATATCAACTTTATATATGTTTTTATTAAAGAATGAGTAATTAACTCATGTTAAAGCTGAGAAATTTTGCATTTAGTTCATCCTACATGATTAATGAATGGGTTAAGAATCTTCTATAACTTAGATTAGTGTTGTGTAATTCGATACGAACATGAAGTAATATGACTAATGCCTTTTAATATTGAAAAGAGAAATACGGTCAAACTCGGAGTTAGTCATTATGTGTCACTATATTGCTATAACGAAATTAAAATTAAACAAAGCACGAGAAATCCTAGAAAAAATAGTTTAAAAAAAATTTCTACAGTAAAATTAACAGATTTAAGGGTTTCTAAAATCATAAACATATGACTCCGTCTAATATAAGTTAACCAAATACACAATCCCCACATATGGAGAGACATGGGAAGAAAGTCAATCAGACCGAGAGACAGATAACCAAACAAAAAATTTCCGACCCATTTCTCGTCTATGACTAAATAATCAGAAACCATCGGAGGTATCACATGTCTTCGAGCTCCCACCGGGCACGCTCCCAGTATTTGACCCAGCCGGCAGCGGCACCTTCAAATCCGAGCATTTCACCCGGAGGGTCCCACTTCTGTAGTTACTGTAGTGATTATACCAAAAACCACTGGCTTTCATGTCGTACGAAAGCGTCAACCTCAAATTGAAGCTCACGTTCCCGCCCTCCTTCTGCTCCTTCTCCATGTCCTCCACCGCGCTGCTCGCCGTTGTATTGTACGTCTCCATCTTCATGTGCATCGTGCCTTTCGCCCGAGAGTCGAGATTCATGGAGTGCATGACCGAGCCCATCGCGAGAAAGTTGTCCTTGTGGTACAGGGAGGTCTCCCACCTGTCTATGTCCAACTTCATCCTGTAGCTGGGGTTGTCCACGTAGATGGAGGCCTCCCATTTCCCGGAGACCACTTTGCTCCCTTGGACGAGGTTGAAGTTGGAGACGCTGAAGGACTCGACCTTGAAGGCCGGGGTATCGGGCCGGACCACGGCAAACATGAAGATGCTGGCGAGGAGGGTGAAGATGACGAGGAGGAACATGATGATGCAGAAGCACCGGAAGCAGCTGCTGGCGGCGTCGTCAGCTTGGTTGTAGGAGGCGGCGGTGTGGTAGGGGTCCCCGTAATAAGGGTTGTAGGCGCTAGCGTGGTACCCGTGGTAGGGGGGTGCTGCGGTGGGGTATCCTTGTTGTGGGTGTGCGTAGCTCATGTTGGGTGGCGGATGGGTGCCCCCGACTGGCGGGGGGTAGGGGTCAGTGGCAGCTCGAGGTTGGTCAAAGGGAAGGGAGTCCCACATCGACAAAACACAAGAGAAGGGGACTCTCCCCTCCCTATAAAAGGAGACCTCTCCCCTTCAAGAAAGGGGGAGGGTTAGGCAGGCTACTTGGGCCTCATGGGCTTACCCATGAGCCCATTTACAAGCCCACGGAACATTGGCCTTCAGCCAGATCTTCAGCCTCCGACCTTCAGCCTTCGGTCTTCGGTCTTCGGCCTTCAACCTTCGGCCTTCGGTATTCTTCATCTTCTCCTTGAGTTTAAACCTATGTGCAATGTATACTCACATTATCGTAATGAGAACATACTACTCCGTGGACGTAGCCCATTATTCGGGTGAACCACGTACATTTGTCTTCTGTGTGCATGCCTATTTATTTACCGAATGCTCCTACATACTAAGGGTCCTTACCTTCAGCATCCATCTCATCTTTAAGTTGGCCTACTTACTACCTGTCTAGTTTTAGCGCCAACAATATTCAATTGAATATCAACTATATATATGTTTTTATTAAAGAATGAGTAATTAACTCATGTTAAAGCTGAGAAATTTTGCATTTAGTTCATCCTACATGATTAATGAATGGGTTAAGAATCTTCTATAACTTAGATTAGTGTTGTGTAATTCGATACGAACATGAAGTAATATGACTAATGCCTTTTAATATTGAAAAGAGAAATACGGTCAAACTCGGAGTTAGTCATTATGTGTCACTATATTGCTATAACGAAATTAAAATTAAACAAAGCACGAGAAATCCTAGAAAAAATAGTTTAAAAAAAATTTCTACAGTAAAATTAACAGATTTAAGGGTTTCTAAAATCATAAACATATGACTCCGTCTAATATAAGTTAACCAAATACACAATCCCCACATATGGAGAGACATGGGAAGAAAGTCAATCAGACCGAGAGACAGATAACCAAACAAAAAATTTCCGACCCATTTCTCGTCTATGACTAAATAATCAGAAACCATCGGAGGTATCACATGTCTTCGAGCTCCCACCGGGCATGCTCCCAGTATTTGACCCAGCCGGCAGCGGCACCTTCAAATCCGAGCATTTCACCCGGAGGGTCCCACTTCTGTAGTTACTGTAGTGATTATACCAAAAACCACTGGCTTTCATGTCGTACGAAAGCGTCAACCTCAAATTGAAGCTCACGTTCCCGCCCTCCTTCTGCTCCTTCTCCATGTCCTCCACCGCGCTGCTCGCCGTTGTATTGTACGTCTCCATCTTCATGTGCATCGTGCCTTTCGCCCGAGAGTCGAGATTCATGGAGTGCATGACCGAGCCCATCGCGAGAAAGTTGTCCTTGTGGTACAGGGAGGTCTCCCACCTGTCTATGTCCAACTTCATCCTGTAGCTGGGGTTGTCCACGTAGATGGAGGCCTCCCATTTCCCGGAGACCACTTTGCTCCCTGGGACGAGGTTGAAGTTGGAGACGCTGAAGGACTCGACCTTGAAGGCCGGGGTATCGGGCCGGACCACGGCAAACATGAAGATGCTGGCGAGGAGGGTGAAGATGACGAGGAGGAACATGATGATGCAGAAGCACCGGAAGCAGCTGCTGGCGGCGTCGTCAGCTTGGTTGTAGGAGGCGGCGGTGTGGTAGGGGTCCCCGTAATAAGGGTTGTAGGCGCTCGCGTGGTACCCGTGGTAAGGGGGTGCTGCGGTGGGGTATCCTTGTTGTGGGTGTGCGTAGCTCATGTTGGGTGGCGGATGGGTGCCCCCGACTGGCGGGGGGTAGGGGTCAGTGGCAGCTCGAGGTTGGTGGGCTTCTGACGATTGTGTTGCAGGTTGGTCAGAGGGGCGGGGTTGATTGGTTTCGGTTGTTGAAGCCATATGTGTTGCTATTAATTATATATACATATGGAATGTTCGTTCTCTCTCTCAAGAATCTCCTGGGAGAGAGAGAAAGAAGAGAGAGAAGGAGGGAGTTTTGGGGGTAGGGGATTAAAATGTGAATTGGAGGGAGATAAATTATTGAAGGAAATGAGAGTGTAAAAATAGGTGGGTGTGCTGTGAAAAGCCGCGGAAAGAGCGTAGGACAAGGTAATTAATTAGGAGTTGTAATCTATGTTAAGGAATTAAGTGATGAAGACAAAAGGATTATAGCTAGCACCTCCATGTCAATCTTCTCACACAGCTCTCCATGATAAACCTAGCCCTATATTGTGGGCGTTGTTCGTGGCCACTATACGCACACATTAAAGATCATGTGTTGCAAGCATGAGTTTATTTAGGGGAATACTAATTAGGTGTGTTTTCTGGGTGCCTTTGTGTTTACTCCCACAAGGTAATTAATTAGGAGTTGTAATCTATGTTAAGGAATTAAGTGATGAAGACAAAAGGATTATAGCTAGCACCTCCATGTCAATCTTCTCACACAGCTCTCCATGATAAACCTAGCCCTATATTGTGGGCGTTGTTCGTGGCCACTATACGCACACATTAAAGATCATGTGTTGCAAGCATGAGTTTATTTAGGGGAATACTTAGGTGTGTTTTCTGGGTGCCTCTGTGTTTACTCCCGTGTGTTAACACATGTCATGAATTATAATACTATTCCCGGCTCTACCTGAAACACCATACTTGAAATTTTTCTCAAATCTGTCACCGTATGTCCGATTGCTATTATCTCCTTCATGCTCAACTATAAGAGGAGAAGCTATGTGGAAGAACATAATTTCCCCATGGAAAATTGTACAATTTTTTTGCAAGTCACTATTACATACATGAACTTGACGTGGGCCTCATTCCCTCACTCCCAAATATGAAATTATCTCTTGATATAGTTGTCGCCCCGCCATAGCCACCTACCAACCAAGTTCAAAGTTCCATCTTCAAGGCTTCATCTATTTGGCTCTGTGCAAGTTTCACCTTCCTCCAACTTGCGGAACCTGCCTGACGATCCCAACCTGCAAATCAACTGAGTTGGACTTGTCCATGTATCGGTGGTTATAAATCCAATTTACATGATGTGTAACGTCCAACCCTGTCCGATCCTCCAATGCTCATTCTTAATTGAAAGGAGCAAAACAATAATGCTACGAGCACCAACTTGTATACCAACTAATTGATACCAATACA